CCTAGACCCTTTCTGATGAAGGGTCTAGGCCCGAAATGTCAGCCTTTTTGCTCCTATGATGCTGCTTGGCCTGCTGTGTTCATCCAGCTCTGCACCTTGTTGTCTCGGATTCTCCAGCATCTGCAGTTCCTACTATCTCTAACTAAATGAGGGTGTTGTCTGAGTGTTGGGTGAACTGCATTTCATTTGAAGCAAAGCACTTGGTTGTAGATACCTGGTAGATTGGAATACCAGAAGGGCAAAAAAATCTAGAATTTAATGCTGTGGTCTTTTCCTTCTCTCCTCAGTATTTCTGCCCTGCAGTGGCTTTGTAATGCCGATAAGAAGAGTCACAGCCCCCCAAAGCGACTGTACAAATTCTTCAGCTCCCTGTATGCCAGTCTGGTAAGGTTTGAGATTGGGAGCTTCAATATCTGTTGTAGAGATGTGGGTGGCTTTGTGTGCAGGTTGCCTGCTGCATTCCTACACAGGACCCTACGGATTCCATAGTAGCTGCGAGTTCCAGGAAAGCCAGAAGAAAGATTAGAATGTACACCCAGACACATTAATTGTGTTTTTCTTTGTTCCACCCCACTGTACTCAATGTAGCATCCAACTCCCTCTTCTCCCATTGTACTCAATCGCATCCTGCTAAACTATAATGCTCTAGTTGTAAATGAGTGAGGGTTTGTATTGAGACTGTCTTGGAGCAATTTTGCCATGTGAACTGCTAGAGAAGCTAGTAACATTTACTCTGTTGGCATAGTATTTGGAATTCTGTTTAGTTTTAATCAGAATGGCTGTTTTATCTGTTAAGCTGTCTGTTTTACAGGTACGAGGAGCTCGAGCTGTGTTTCAGCTCTATCCTGAAAACTCCGAGCAGGTAAGTTACCACAGTGTTAAAGACGTGAAATTTAATACCCAGCATGTTACAGATGTGTGTGGGCTTGTGTGTCAGTGTCCTGTTCAATTCATCCTTCCAGTTTGTTCAAGATCCAGTAAATCAAGGGTGCTTTTGTGCGTTAAATTCAGCACATTCACTAAAATCTTCGGCCACATAATGCTTGTGGCTAGCATTCAAATGATCATTTGATAAACTGCGTGTGTGAGCTCCTCAGGGCTTGGTCATTACTACAAGTGCCAGGCTTGGTACCTGACACTCTCCCTACTGGGTTGTGCTCCATAGGCATCACGATACTCTGGCACTTTACCCAAGTGGCCATTCTTTACCCAAGCCTAAATTATCAGTTTTAAGTGGTCTGTTGGTCTAAGGAGAGCATCGTTATGGAACATCATGTTGAGGTTGTACAGGACGTTGTTGAGGCCTCTTCTGGACTACTGTGTCCACCTCTGGTCGCCCTCCTTATAGGAAGGATATTATTAAGTTGGAGAGGGTTCAGAAAAATGTACCAGGATGTTGACAGGAATGAAGGGTTTGAGTTATAAGGAGTGGCTGATTAGGCTGAGACTTTTTTCACTGGAGCATGGGAGGCTGATGGGTGACCTTCTAGAGGTATATAAAATCATAAAGGGTGTAGATAAAGTGAATGGCACGTGAATTTTCCCTAGGATTCCCTAGGGGGATTTCAAGACTAAGGGGCATATTTTCAAGATGAGAGGAGAAAGATTTAATAAAAAGACGAGGCCATTTTTTTTTTTAACACAGCGATTAGTGTATGAAATAAACTTGCTGAGGAAGTGGTGAATGTGGGTACAGTTGCAACATTTAAAAGACATTTTAGATGAGTACATGAATAAGAAATATTTGGAGAGATGTGGGCCAAGTGTGGGCAAGTGGACTAATTTAGTTTGGGATTATGGTCAGTATGAACTGGTTGGACTGAAGGGTCTATTTCCATAATGTATGACTCTATAAGTGTAATCAGCCAGTCATCTGACCTCCTTGTAAGTACACTCTCTAGCTGGACTACTGGCTGGTAAGCAGCAAAATGGAGCACAGAGTTGTGAGAAGTTCAACATTACAACTGGTTTCAACACTGTAAGGAGAAACTGTTTCTATTGACAAAAGATTGTACTCGGACGCAGTTTTAAAATAATTGGCACAAACCCAGAGAACAGATGAGAGTTCTTTTCACACTGAGTTGTGATGGTCTGAAACGCTCTATCTGAAAAGCTGGTGGGAGCACATTCAGTTGTAACTTTTAGAAGTGACTCGGGTATTTTCTTTACAAACAAGCATTTGCACAGCTCTGGGGAAAGAGCAAGGGAGGAGGGTTGATCGGGAAACTGGCACAAGCAGTATGGGTCTGCATTGTAAAATTCTAAACTATCTAGTTGAATTTTTGCTTTCACACTCTAAAGCAAGCTGTCAGGGTTTATTGTTAGCATCCCAACTTAACTTGGAACAGAAAGAATTGAACCTGAGACCTTCTGATTGGAATGATGTCAGTGGGGCATTAGATGTCTTTATCTGTTAAACCATTGGCAGAATATAGTGGCTCAGTGTTAAGTTTTCAGAATACTACATACTTCAGACGTAACTTTAACAAGTCATCGTCACTCTGTTATTGTTGCCATAAGAAGGTTGCAAGAAGGCTTCATGGTGGTCTAGACAAGTTGAGAGTGTGAACTGTCACGTGGCAGGTGCAGTAAATGTGAAGTTAAACATTTGGAGAGATGTGGGCCAAGTGGGACTAATTTAGTTTGGGATTATGGTCAGTATGGACTGGTTGGATTGAAGGGTCTATTTCCATAATGTATGACTCTATCAGTGTGAAAAGAACTCTCGTGTTCTCTGAGTTCGTGCCAATTATTTTACAGCTGTGTCCTCTGAGTACAATATTTTATCAATGGCAACAGTTTCTCCTTACAGTATTGAAATCATTTGTAATGTTGAACTCCTCACAACTCTGTGTTCCATTTTGCTGCTTACCAGATAAATGTGAAGTTAAACATTTTGGTGTGAAGAACAAAGACTGTATTATTTAAATGGTAATATATAAATATTTAAGTGGTAATATATTGAGAATTGTGGATTACAACAGGGCCTGGAAGGGCCAAACGGCATACTCTTCTTACTTTCTGTTATTTTGTACGTCACGGTATCCCCATACAACCTCTGTAGATGTTGTCAGTTAACACAAACATCAGTTGCTACTGATCGAACAGATGCAATGGCATTGATAGTGTAGAATCTATACCACCTTTTAATTCAAATTGTATTATAAGTTACAATTGATGCAGCAGAGCCTTATGGAGAAATTAGCCAGGGTTCCCATTTTAAACCGCCATGCAGTAATCCCCTACTATAAATATACAAGTGTGAATATAGAATGAGAACAAACTCTGGGAGCAGCTGCTTGAGGAGGGTGGGAAATTGTGGTACCTTGTTACCTCAAGTGCAGCGCTGTCACTGGAATTCTGTTCAACACATGACCATTCTCGTCAAATAATACAAATTCAACAGACGTGCATCTGAAGCAACAGAACAGAAAGATACAGTGCATTGGTTCAATCTTGGCCGAAAAGAGGCTTCTGTAACAGTGCAGTCTAGGAACTGTGTTGTGGTATGGTTTGGGTTATGTGCTGTGTTGGGTTTTAACCTACAACCAACTGCAGATGAGAGCATTACCCCAGTGCCAGTGGGTAAGTGACCAGTGTGTGTCCACAAAACACTATCCCAGGGAAAGAGTCATGCTTTAAGTAGAGGGGGAATAAAAATTATAGGGAAGGGGCATAGATCATTCAGAACAACTGAAAGCACTTTTTTTTTGTCTTCAGCTGGAGTTGATCACAGCGCAGGCCATGAAGGCTGGTTTCACAGGTGGGATGGTGGTGGATTATCCCAACAGCAGCAAGGCAAAAAAGTAAGTACCGGAGTAGGCTCATTTTCACTCAGTGTTCAAGAAACAAACATTGCTTTAACTGGTTTCACTCCGGAGTGCGAAGTAATTTGTCTCTAAGTATCAGTTCTCGGCCCAGTGATGGTGCGCTTTCTGGAGTCAGGAGATGGCGTATTGGAGAGATTTGAACACACAATCTAAGCTAGTGCTTCTCGAACTTGATCTCATCAGGACTCATTTTTGGTGCTTGAAATTTGCAGATACCTCAGACCTGGAGAGGGGAGAGTGTTAGGGGAGCAAGTGGCAGGGGAAACCCCCAGATCCACAGGATTTTAAAGTAAAAAGCACTTGCCTTCCCGTTAGGTTTCTGGGACAGAATTGATGCCTACAAAGTCAGGCACTTAGACCACCCTCACTATTAAAAGAGCTGCAAGATTTAAAGGGGCTTTGTAGCTGTTGGCTGTCGGTCGGAGTGCCATTTCTGCATTGGTGCTGCAACCCCAAGCTATCCCCACTGGGGTCATGACGTACAGTTTGAGAAGCCCTGATCTAGGGAACATTCCAGTGTAATGCTCAGGAAGTGCTGCAGTGTTGGTGGTTCCTTTTTTTCTAATGTAACAGTAAATCGTAAGCTCATCTGCCATCTGTTGGATGTCAAGTATCCTGTGGCAGTATTCAAGAAGCAGAGGCAGTTCTTCTCGTGTCCCTCGAGCAGTACCTGAGAACAGATGATTTCATCATTATGTCACTGCTGTCTGTGGGATCTTGCTGTGCCAAGATTAGTTGCCGCTTTCATCTGAAAAAACAGCACTCACCAGACTTCAAAGGTCATTCTTTGACCATGGAGGTATCCTGAAAATGTGAAAAATTGCAGCTGGAAATGCTGTCAGAACGAGTTGCAACTGGCTTTGGTACAATTTCCAAGTAAGTAAAAGCAATGAATGGAGCAGCCTAACTGTTCACCTTGGTGTAAATACAGTATCTATTTCAGATGGCTAAATTATTTCTTTATACTGCATGTCGCTTTATCACTTACAAACTGTATATAAAACTGCTAAAGACTTAGTGATTGTCTAAGCAGATGACCATCTTGATATGTCCATCCATCCTCTGATTGGGTGCAAATTCTTGAGTGTTCTGAGATTTATTTCTGCCTCTTTCCCTCACCTCGCCCTGCCCATCTGAATCAGCGGATTCTTTGTTCCCTGGAATCTCTCTCCAGCTGAGTTTGTGGCATGTTGGAGATCCAGGAACTTTCTGATAAAGGGTCTAGGCCCGAAACGTCAGCATTTCTGCTCGTATGATGCGGCTTGGCCTGCTGTGTTCATCCAGCTCTGCACCTTGTTGTCCCACTATCACTGTATACACATTTTACTTGAATAGTTGGTCAATGAGTAAAGCTCTGAGCATTCTGACAATGAATTTCCTAATCTTTGCCTCATGTGATGATTAGGCATGCAGCTGGTGTTGTAAATGCGTCATAGACTTTTGCAATGTGGGATGTTAGACACCACACACTTACACTCCCTTTATTGGGAGCTCAATGCATCCTTCTTCCAGAAATAATTCACTGATTGAGAAAGAATATGAATAACACTTTGTGTAAAAGTAGCAATAACATGACTGTAACATAAAGGTAGGTTTCCCTGTTATTTTATAAACTGTGACTCTACTTCAAGGAGTAATTAATTGGCCACAATACACTTTGCTACTCCTGAGAATATGCTAACGCTCTGTACATGATTCAAGCTTTTTCTGTAGATTGTCCACATGAGTTCTCATTATTAACTCTTTCTTTCTTAGATTCTTCTTGTGTTTATTTGCGGGAGTCTCTGGAAAGCTGCCAATGGTAACTCCTCTATTATATTTTTATTGAGGGTATTTTATTGGTATAATTGAAGACTGGTCCTTCTTTGTGTTGTATTTTGCTGGCACCATCAGGAGCTGTGTTTTTATTCTCAGCTGTATGCAGTTTTGTCTCTACATCCTTTGAGCTTCTCCCAGGGCTGCCTGTACAATTAATGTACATGAAGAAAATTCATCTGAAAATTGTGCCTCAAGACTTGGCATTTAATTTTTAAAAATATCCACATTGGCAACAGAATTTGCCATTTAAAGAATATCATCTTTTTTTTTTATACGAACAGGGACTGGGGGCATACTCTGAGTGAAAAGCTCTGGCCTATCGTTGACCAGTGACTTAGTAGTTAGCACTGCTGCCTCACAGTGCCAGGGACTCGGGTTCGATTCCACCCTCGGGTCACTGTCTGTGTGGAGTTTGCATGTTCTTCCAGTGTCTGTGTGGGTTTCTCCAGGCACTCTGGTTTCTTCCAACAGTCCAAAGATGTGCAGGTTAGGCGGATTGGCCATTCTAAATTACCCATAGTGTCCGGGGATGTGCAGGCTAGGTGGATTAGCCATGGGGAATGCGGGGCTACAGGCCTAGGGTAGAGGGGGTGGATGGGATGCTCTTCAGAGAGTAGGTGTGGAGTTGTTGGGCTGAATGGCCTGCTTCCACGCTATAGAGATTCTGTTCTATGACTGACAACATTCAGCCTGTGAGCCATCACTCTGTTTCATGGCAGTCCAGCCCTTGGGGTCTAGAGAATTCATTCCTATTTGCAAGTATTCTTGGTCCCTGGTTTGTGGCCTGGAGGTTTGGGAAGGCCTGTCCTTCATTTTAATCATAGTCATAAAGATTTTGTAACCTCAAAAGAAGTTAACCCTGCATCAGAGCAGCCACATCTGTTTGTATCAGCAGCTTGAGATCTTTGTAGATTAACAGGATCATGATTTAAACTGTATACGTGTCCCCGAATCTCTGAAGATGCACCCTTAAATATCCTGCCCTTGAATTTCATTCTTTTTACTGTTGTGTTAGAAAAGCTCTGTGTGCTTTTTGTTGGAAGGCCATCCTTTAAATCTTAAGCTGGCTTTAAATTTCTGCCCATAGGGGACTGACGTTCCGCGGTTATTAACTACTGGCAGCCTGTCCCAATGGCTGATGTTCCATAGCTCCAGTCTACCCTCAGACTGGATGCAAAACCTCTCCTGAAGCCACAGATTTGCAATCAAGTTAGGGTACCACTGGAACTGGATCCTAAACTTTACTCAGCATTCTTTCCAACTAGCTTTTCTACGCCTTAACTGGTAACTGTGTGCCTCTGGTAGAAGCCACTGTATCCCCTCTGTAACCATGGGCTAAATGAACCCCATTATTGTTGCATCTGCACCCCAAGTGATCTCAGAGTATTGAGTAAAAATTAAACCTGAAACCTTTCAGTTTGTTACTGCAACATTGCTCCTCACATTGCTTTTGCAACACCAGCTCAGCTTAGACCTGACGCATTTAAATGTAATTTCCAAAGCAGCTGCTAAATCTTTGTGCTTGCTGAGTTGCCAGGTTGAATTTCCTCATCCATATCGCCTGTGCTCAAAGGCTTCTAACAGCGAGTGCCTGACTGGCACGTCCCAGCTAATGTAAAATCTTCCCACCGAGGAGGCAAAAAAAACCACAGTCAAAGTCCCCTATTTAGTCAAAACGAACTTCTGTTTGGCATCTGGTGGCTCTGTAAATCATCCAAGTTATGCATTCTGAGCTGGCAGTGGGTGCGATAGTCACAGTTCCATGAAAAGTAACCAGGCTATCTATCATTAACCAGCGTACCATCTGTTCAGTCAATCCTGACAAACTGTATGTTCTACTGGACAGGGCCATTTGTAATTGACACGCTTTCTATTGAAGAGGGCAATTTGTGAGTAGCTTTCCACATGATGAATATTAGGTTTGTTGGGAAGAATTGTTGGGGCAGATTTCCTGTTACTCACTGCTTAAGTGGTTTGAAAGACAGCACAGAAGAGGCTCACCCCAATGTACAGTATATTTGAAATTGAATGACCCGGGTTCGATTCCACCCTCGGGCGACTGTGTGGAGTTTGCATTCTCCCCTTGTCTGCTTGGGTATCCTCCAGGTGCTCCGGTTTCCTCTCATAATCCAAAGATGTGCAGGTTAGGTGGATTGGCCATGGTAAATTGCCCGTAGTGCCCAGGGATGTTTAGGTCACGTGAGTTAGACATGGGAAATGCAGGGTTAGGGGAATGGGTCTGAGTGGGATGCCCTTCGGAGGGGCGGTGTGGACTTGTTGGGCTGAATGGCCTGTTTCCACACTGTAGGGATTCTATGATGCTATGATGGTTCATCTAGCAAGCTCATTGCTCCCAATTCTTGCATTGTGTCCTTTGATTTTTGGTTTGAATGCAGTACATATTGATAAGTGTTTTGCCCTGTGTAACATTCCTGTCTTGATTGCGTTAGCACTAATTGAACCCAGAACAACCTACTGTTAACTTAACTACTACTTGATACAAGTCTGTCAGTGTCACCAAGAATGATCAGTACGAGCAGAGGAAATGCCACACTGGTACTGGAACAGCTTCCTCAAGCACGTTTCTTGAGGCAGAAAGTTGGGATATGGCCTGCTCTGTGTCTGACATCCAGTGATGACATTCTTTAAGTTTAACATTAATAAAACAAAGGAAATGGAAGAGTAAGTAACTTGGGTGATATTAATTGATTCATGATATTTTGTAAGTAGAAGTTGTTGAATATTAGAAGTTTGTTTTCCTGATCAGTGCTCAAGGTTGACATTTGGAACTTCTTTGGGGGCGGACTTTAATTCAATGGGATAACAAATGGTCCTGACAGCTTTTCACCTTATACCTGCCATGTCTGTGAAACCACCCCAATCTCAGTATTCATTTACTTAACATTTCACCTCATTTTGTTGTTAATCCCAAGACCTTTTTGTCAACAGCTGTATATTGAAGATGCTGTCAGCTTCTGTGTACTTGCAAAATTACCACAATCTCGCTATTGGAATAATGTTGGGGTAAAGTTACTGGAGTTGGGGTTTCCATCAATCTGTTGAAGTACAGGCTTGTGCTACTCGTTTGGTGTTAAACTACAGTCTGTGTTTCACCCAGTCTGCTCTACAAATCTGGCCGACTTCGTCGTATTTAAGATCCATGTGTTTGGAGAATTGTAATAGGTTTTGTCTGACATAACCACAGCAGTACTGAATTCCAAATTAGCGCACCCTGCTTTACCCACATCGAGGTGAACATTGAAATGTTTGATAGTCACCCTCATTACTGCATATTCCGTGGCTGTGACCTACAAATGACCTGCTTAATGCTCAGGCAATTCTGCAAAGAGCACACAGAGGAGTTTTGATAGTTTACCTTCGTTCTACTATTTAAAATAGAATATTCTAGGTGATTAGAGATTGTAACACTATCAGACAGCCAGAGCAACTCTTGTGATACTCAGTGTATGATTTTATTGCAAACTGAACAAGAGCAAATACTTATTAACTAACCGATGAATAGGGTCTGGACTATTTGATCATAAAACAAATAATCTAAATAATGGCAAAGTCATCACAGTATTACCCCCTAATGGAGTTTACAGCATCAAAATATTTCACCTTCTTCAAAATTGAGTTCAGATAAACGAAATGGAAAGAATGCAAACCAATGTTAATACATAGTAGATTAGTCAACATTTCTGAAGAAGAAAGCTGGTGAATAATGTTTTGTTTATAGACATTGTCACACTCCACAAGAACCCATCTGTTCAGGTGCTGTTGGGTCCTGCTGTGTATCCCTGTTCCTGTTCTCCGAAAATTGCTCTAAACTTAGTGTTGCAAATGATTTGGCACAGTTCGCTGGATGCTCTTGTTTACAGGTTTGTGGCTTTGAGTAATCTTCAGCTGTCTGTAGTCCTGTTTATGTTTGAGGGCAGCCTGTTTATAAAATCCTGAGTTCCATTGCTGGTAAGCTCTGTTTAAGAGAATGGGCAAGATCACAGCACAAAGGCTGAATGTGGAACTTGCAGCACCTCGTAAATGCTGAGGTTCTATCATCTGTAAAACATTTCATTACTGCATCTTATAACCACTTGTTTTCATTTTAACCCTGGAATTTAAAATAATTGGAACAAGTAATGGCATTAACACATTTTCTCTCTGAGCTGTAGTTTTGACTGACCCCATCATAATGTGCAGTCTTTTTGAGTTCCTTCCTCATGCCCTTGTTCTACTAAGTGCACCTTCCCACTTTCCCAAAATTTTGATTTGTTTAGGTCCAAGTGATCATGAGCATCGGTGCAGCCTGTGCCTTGAGATCTGAGCACAGGATCGAATTTGAATTTCAGTGGTTGCAGTGTTGAGTTTTATGTTTTGTGCTCTTTCCCCTACCTGTCTAGGGCCTTGGAGCAGAGCAGGGGGACGAGACAGTGAGCCAGGTTCAGTTCACTAATGCCAGGTAAGGTGTTTACATTTGTGATGAGCCCAAAGCCAAAGTTAGTGATATACGAATAAATCCAACCAGTATTGAGGCAAAACTTATTTACTAACGGTGAGGGTGGGGTTGACTATGTGGAACTGGCAACCTCATGGTGTTTTCAGATTAATAACATAGATGTGTTTTAAAGGGAAGCTATATGACTGTGAGGAAGGAAAGGTTTGAAGGATGTGGTGATGGGGGTGAGATGAACTAAGGTGAGGAGAGGTGGTTTATGCACAGCATCAAGACCAGCACATTCCTGCTGTGGTGAACAGTCTGTTTCTGTTCTGTCAAATTCTCATCTGAAATATCACAATAGACCAGCAATCACATTGTTTGAGGATTCTCTTTAGCCCCACTTCTCAGTTCAGTTTCAAGTGAAAAAGTGTTGGCCTGACCTTAAGGGGAGGTTGCCACTGGTTTATTTGAAACTGAAGCTGAGGAAAGTCTTGCTCTGTTTATGGAAGAGCTCACCTCTTAATTTGAGTAAAAAGTTACATTTGCAGAATTTCATTTCTATGCAGTTTTGGAAATATTTGTTGGGTGTGGGACTATGTCCCCAGACCATTGTTCAGTTGATTGGAAATGCAGAATTCACTTATCAATTTAAAGAAATGGCTCCCCTAATGATAAATTACCACAGGTTAAATTGCAGGTGAGGAAGAGTCCAGTCATATACTCTTTCAGTCATTTAATTTCCAGTTCACACACCAAAACTTCAACCACATTGATTACATGCTCCCCATATTTATACACCCTGTCCTGATGCAATTAACCCGGACCTTATACCATCCCTGCCAGACTGCACCATATGTACCTAGTGCTGTCAGGGAGGGCTTAAACTAGGATGGCAGGGGTAGTAGGGGACCTGAGCAGGGAGACACAGGAAGAAGAAACGAAACTGGAAGCGGAATAAAACAATGGGGGCCACAGACCAAAATGAAACGAGGATGATTAACAATGACCATATGATTACACCTAACAGACAACCACAATGTGACTCTGATTTCTTGATTGCTCTGTTCTGAAATTGCATGGGTCTGCAGGTACCAGTCTTGCTATTTGCCCAGTCTGATTTGGTTTGTTCTTCCCAATTATTTCTTGCCCAGTTATTTCCTGCTGTTGCAATTTGACAATGTAAGAAAGAATGTAACCATGTTCAAAAACTGACTACAGCTTAATTAAGCCATGGCTGGCACATGTTTCAAACAGCCCATAGCAGGGAAGGTAGAGCTCATGCAGCAGCTCTGTGGTATGTGACATACAGACTTGAAAGGTCCCAGCTTCTGTTCCTTATTTTGTGCTGAGAAAACCGAACTAATGAATGGCATCTGGGGCCTGTACGAGGGAGGAAGAAAATGAGCTGGAAGTCTTTACTCAGTAATCAAACACTGTCTGACTTTATGTGCTCTGGCCTTGTTTAATCAAATATTGTGCCTCAAAGGTTGTAACATGTACATTTCGCAAACTGCAGAGGATGGTGCATAATGTTCTAATCTTAAGGATATTTAGTGATTGTTACCTGATCGTCCAGGTCCTTCAGTTAAAGCAGAGAGGGTTACAGTGTCCTCCTGTCTGTTACTGACAGACCTATAGTAACTGAGGAATTGAACTGGTGTGTCAGTCCTGAGCTGCTGGCTGCCACATTTTCCTGTCTCTTACAGTTTGTGCAATTGATGGTATAAATGTGAAGTTCCCCTTAGTGGTTCAGTTAGAAGTCCCTGGCAAATCAACATATTGGGATGTGTTCAGCAGAGATTTGAAGAGATACCGTACCACCACGACCACAAAGCCAGCTTCACCCCATTGTGACGGCAGATGTTAAACACCGGCCGCGTTCCCTGAAGCTCACAGAAGGTTTGATTGCAGCATAGAATTAATTGGTATAAGTGGGGTCAGTGATGGTTTGTTACAGTGGTCGCTAGCTCTCCCCAATTAGATGGGACAAAAATCACATGGGCTGCTTCCCTCTGATCACTCTGTGGAATCCCTGCATGTAAATGCTGTAATGGATGTGGCTTTGGGATGGGATCAGGCTTGCTGTAACACCTGTATGATGTTCGCAGTCTGTGTTTTACATCACACCTGAATTCTGACTGAATGGAAAAGTTTGGGCATGGTGTAAAGGGGGCTGCTGATTCACCGTCACCTATTTCACGTTTTTGCTGAAGATCAGTTTCAGCCCCCAAGCTGTACGTTTGAATTTGAATGTCCACTTGAGTATATCACCAGAGGGGGTGCCTTTCCAGGATGAATCCATGGGAATAGTGGAGAAGACAGAGCAAACTGTAGAATGGGTAACTGCACTCCTCGTGTATCTCAGAGTTGAAAGCTCCCAACTCACTCCTACATTAACTGGCCTTAGTTAGGAGGCAGTAAGTCACTTGATTGGGAAGTTGGCAAAGGAATACCCAGATTTCTCTCGCTCATTGACTGAAATGAAATCCACTGGGAAAGTGGATGTCAAATGGGGATGGAATGGATTCCAGGTTAATCTGCGGGCATCGCTATTATGCAAGGATGGACTCAACAGTTGACGAGAGGTCTCGGTAGGTGTTGTAATGGAGAAGGATTTGATCTATAAGACATCCCGCATACCCACCTTTCCAACATGGTTCAGTGCTTTCAACTTAAGAGGGGAGTGAAAAACATGTCTAGCAATCATTGGGGGCTTTGAGAAAGCTGCAATCCTGAATTAAATTTACAGCAGGATGGTGGTTGCACCCATGTTGTTTCTGCAAATCTGACTTAGCATTTGTCAATCCCTATTTGAAGGGTGCAGCCATTACTGAGAAGATTGTTATACAGTAGTGCTCAAATTGCTTCTTGCTGTTGTAAATTAGCAAGAGCAGCACGTAACGCAGTGGTTGACAAAATGTTGGGAGACTATGCCGAAAACTCTGCTGCCAAGGGCCATGAAGCAGGATGGGGTTCGGGAGAGAATTAGTCACCTTTCTATTTCCAGCAATCCAGTGGAGAACTGTTCAGTTTCCCCTTCGCTGGGCAGACACACAGAAAAACGTGCAGTGTACCTAGTGCTGTCAGGGAGGGCTTAAACTAGGATGGCAGGGGCAGTAGGAACCTGAGTGGGCAGACAGAGGAGGAAGAAACAAAACTGGAAGGCAGAATAAAACAATAGGGGCCACAGAGCAAAATGAAACTAAGATGATTAACAATGATGAGCCACGATCATATTGAATGACCCACTCCTGCTCCTGGTGTCTGTGGCTCTATTGAAGAAACAAAAGCTCCTTGTCAGGGTCAAAGAAACCTGGTCCAGGGAGGTAGAGCCAATAAAGCGCAGCAAATCATTAATGAAGCTTTTAACAAGCAAGTCCCTGACCACTCGGCTGGATAGCATTAGTTCAGTTATGTGAGCAAGCTTCCTTTTTTTTTGTCTGCAGGTTAAGGTTTAAAAACCTGAAGGGGAAACCTGTGAAAAGAAGCAGAGACTGGATTCTGGAGAAGAAAGAGCGTCGAAGGCGTCAGGGCAGGTGAGGTGACAGTGGGCCGTTGTGATTACTGTGTGTAACAAGACACCTCTGTGGTCAAGGGGCTACCTCCTTGCTCTTCTCTCATCCTGTTTACAGTGTGTTTAACTGTGACCATCCTTGCAGCACAGACTGCTGCATGAAATAAGGCTCTGGATGCTCCTACATCTTGCAGTAGACATCATTCTCATTAGTGTAAACAGGCCAGACTCCATCCATCCCATTGTTGATGCTATTGTCTGTTCCTCTGGAATATGGGTGAAGACAGACAAAATAATGTTCCCAGTTAACAAAAGCATTTGCATTCCCTTTTCCAATAGATTTCCTGATCTTGGTTGGCAGTGTCTGGTGAATTCAGTGGGATAGAATGGACTTCTTGCCCAGAATAAAATGAAAATTACCCCTCTCCTTGGTGCTGTCACCATCTTAAAGGGAACCCCAAGCTGTTTTATCTGAATTGAGGCATTGAGGGAAAGCAACTGGTCCATCTTTCTGTGGATGCTTCATTCCAAACCCACTCTCCTGTCTTTTTCCTTTTAACTTTACAAATGAGCAACACTCGGTTATCCATCCACCTCCATGTTTAAGATTCCATTCAGGAGTGCATTGGAAAGACATTGTGAATTGTTTTTCTAGATCCAGGATGTACTTAACTGCTGTCTTCAAATTGTAACCGTTTTATTCTCCCTTTCCCTCTCTAGGACAGTTCGAAATGACACAAAGTATACAGGCAGAAAGAGGAAAACCCGTTTTTAGAGTGGGAACGGCAGGAATGTTTTGTTCTCAGCTTGGGGAATTTCATCTGGTCAATTTTGTGGTACCTCTTGATCCTGACACACTCGACAATGTTGAATTTGCAACTACAGATTGACCGTCTTTGAACGATCACCATACCAAACCATTACCAGTGTGGAGCTTTCTGTTTCCAACAATCTTCACAGGTTTGGTGAATAATAGATTGAGACTTAGAAGGAAGCAATTCCATTCAATCTCAACTGCCTTCTCAGTTTTCAGAATTCTGAGTATCCCATGTTGTCTCCTCTTTGACAGCTGTGTTACCTGCATTTCATCACATTGTTTCATGAATGGATCATTACCTAATACAAGAAAAAGGGTCACTGCCTTTGAATCCAGTTGTTCTTAAATAGACTGTGACTGTTGCATAATTGATTAAAACCTTCTGCTGCTTGAATTAATGATAGCAGATGAGCTACCATTATTGTTTGAAAAGGATATTTATACAGTGACTGCAACGAAAAGTTGAATGTCTAACTGCCTGGTTGAACAACTTTATCTGGTGATTGTGTGAATTATCTACTGATGAAAATTTTGACTTTTTTTTTTCTGTATGCAAGTAAAACATAGCCCATGATCAGCCAGATTTTCCTCCATCCTGGTCATGTCTTCCTGTTCATTTGCTCAAGTGTCCATTACTGATAAAGCTGTGGAGTACAGTGTGTTATGTGAACTGTATAGTAACAGGTGGCATGAACTAAGGCATGGTCCAGGATTTGTGAATCCATATTAAAGAACTTAAGAAACAGGAGTTGGTCACTTCCAAATGGGCTCTACCATTCAATGAGATTGTAGTTAACCCATCTCAACTCCTTCTTCGATATTCCCATTCCCATTCCCAATTCCTTCGCCTCCGCCGCATCTGCTCCCAGGATGAGGCCGCCCTCAACCGTGACTCCCGCATTTCCCGCAACTCATCCCTCACACCCTGTCCCCGCAATAACAACCACAACAGAATCCCCCTCGTCCTCACGTACCACCCCACCTACCTCCGGATCCAACGCATCATCCTCCGACACTTCCGCCATCTGCAATCCGACCCCACCACCAAAGACATGTTTCCCTCCCCACCCTTGTCTGCTTTCCGGACGGACCACTCTCCGTGACTCCCTTGTCCGCTCCACACTCCTCTCCCGCTCCAGCCCCACCACACCCGGCACTTTTCCTTGCAACCGCAGGAAGTGCTACACCTGCCCCTACACCTTCCCCCCTCACCCTCATCCCAGGCCCCAAGAAGACTTTCCACATCAAGCAGATATTCACCTGCACATCTGCTAATGTGGTATACTGCATCCGCTGTTCCCGTTGTGGCGTTCTCTACATCGGGGAAACCAAGCGGAGGCTTGGGGACCGCTTTGCAGAACACCTACGCTCGGTTCGCACGAAACAACTGCACCTCCCAATCGCGAACCATTTCAACTCCCCCTCCCATTCCTCAGACGACATGTCCATCCTGGGCCTCCTGCAGTGCCACAACGATGTCACCTAAAGGTTGCAGGAACAGCACCTCATATTCCACGTGGGAACCCTGCAGCCCAATGGTATCAATGTGGACTTCACAAACTTCAAAATCTCCCCTCCCCCTACCACATCCCAAAACCAGCACAGCTTGTCCCCCCCCCCC